GGCTGACTGTCTTGTTTGTTTGAGAAGCAACTCTGGAGGAAGAGCCCCTCCACCCCGTCCTGTAGCCTCCCGTTTCATTCTAACACCCCGGCATCATGCAGGGCTGGAGAGGGCTAGAGAGCTCACGGAGCCCAACCCTGTCCGGGACACAGATCGGAAAGCTGAGACCCAGACAGGTGGGGAAGCTGTCCTAGGTCACAGGGCCAGCTGCTGCCTGAACCAGGATGGGATGCCAGCTCCTGACTCTGACCCTGTCCCCATCCTGCAGCCTCACCCCAGGACCCGCTCTTGCTGTGGACCCTGGGGCTGAGGCCTTAGCTGCACATGCAGAAACTATGTCCGTGTGTAGATGAGCATCACCAGCAACCGCCCTGAGACCTGAGAGAGCAGAGAGAATGGGCGGGGGGGTGGGGGCAAGCTACAGAGTGCACACCCAGTGCCATTGCTGCTAGAGCCTGGGGCACCTCGAGCAGGGGTCCGGGGAAGCTTCTGGGTGGAAGTGCTTTCATTTTGCCCCTGACAATGGCTGGGGCTTTGGTTGCTCCTAATGAGCAGCAAGCCTTGGCCACAGAAATAGCCACACCGGCCAGCGCAGAGGGTGGTGTTCGAGAAACAGCCACCAGGGTTACAGAGCAACCCACAGGTGGCACATCCGCCTTCCCCCAGGAATGTGCCCGCGCCTCTATCAGCAAGAGCACCTATCAGCCTCGACTCTGAGTCAGAGAGCATTCCTGCCTCCTTTGTGAGTTGGGCATTTCATGAGAAACTTTGACTTGCTTCCCAGTTTTATTTGCTCAGGCTGGTGACCACTTGTAATCACCACTGTTCCAAGGCTCAGAGGGCAGCTGTCCCAAGAGGTTGGTCGAGCCAAGTGTCATGTAGGAGGAGCCACTGCCCACACTTCCCCTGAACTTGGCCAGACTGTGAACCCAGTTCTTTAACAGATACACACAACACACCATCGAAATTCAGTGTTGTGCATCTGGGATATCCATTTTATAAAACCCGTTCCACTGTCTTTGCAACTCGTTAATCTCCATGTCATCCTTGCTTTTCTCCATTACAGCTATGAAACAATCAGGGAGGGCTAACCGTCTCAGAGATTAAAAATGTGATTAAATCTGAGCAGTGGAACGGGCGAAATTGAAAGCATTTCATACAGGAACCTCATGACTTGGAGCCTGGTGGAGACAGCCCTCCCCCCTGACACAAACTGGGAGGTTCCCCCAGGCGGGATCAGGGACAGAAGCATGCTCCCCCGTGACTGTCGAGGGTGGAGGGGTTCCAGGGGCGGATCGGGGTCTCGGGGAGCAAACACAGTGTGTAGTGATGGGAGACTGATAATTGGCTGAAGGGCTGTCCGCTCCATGAGCCCATGTGTGTCCCACGGTGTGGCTGTACCTGGCACAGGGCCCCCATCAGCGTACCAGGCCGAGGCAAGCCAGAGGGGGTGCCAGCAAAGCCTCCCCAAGATGCCAGTGACTTTTGGTCAAGTCAAAAATATTCTCCATTCAATTTAAGGTTACTTTCCAAAGATAGTTTTCAAAAAGCCCTAAAAGCGTCTTCGTGTCCTTAATTCACTAAGTGGGAAGATTCGGTTACAGTAGATAAAGACCCGGGTCTTGGGCCATTGTCTCTCAACCCCTGGCTGTGCTGGGAGCCTCACCACCGCCCACCCCGCAGGATGGCACAGCCTCCTACGGGCGACTCTGATCTTCGGAATCCCTCTTCCTTCCCTCCTCTCCCTCTACCCCCGAAGTTGGGTCGGAGCTAAACATAAACACTAGAGTAAAATTTTCAGGTGACGTCGAACTGCTTGGTTTGGCTGTGTCGGATGCATCTTTTTCACCATCGAGATCATGTCAGTTCTGGCTTTATTAAACAGAGCATAGCGAACAAGGTTCACTTTCCGTAATAACCCAGCATCATGATCAGAGCTTCCAAGGGGGACCTAAGCCATGGAGCCAGTTTCTGTAGAAGCAAGTGGGGCCGCCGCCTGCTGCCCTCGGCCTGCTGGTCTCCCCTGTTCACATCTCAGCCTATTTCTGAGGGGCTCACCCCCTCCTGGCAGGCACCCCCTCGCCAGAGGTGCCCAGACCCTCCGGGTCCAGCATGTATCTGGTCCCCGGGGCCTTGGTGGTCTTTGCTGTCCGAGCTGGGAAACCAAGAAGCCCTCCTTATGAGCAAGAAGCTTCCAAGAGAAGGAACAGTCTGGAAGGGGGCCCTGGGGTGGTGGGGGGGGGAGACACACACATGTTCTCAGCCTCGGGGGGGGCGGTTCTGATGGCTAGCAGCCTTCCCATCCATCGCTTACCAGCCACTAGGTTCTCATGGTAAAAAGAGTATACTAGTTTCCTTTTCTTTGGCTTCTCTCGCGCCCACCCCTCACCATCTAAGATTCTTAAAGGAAGCCTGGAATTGTGTCCCTTTGGAGAGGAGATGGCGCTAACTAGTCAGCTGATGCTCACAGCTCTTTCATCTGCTCTGAAAAGAGAACCTCAATGAATGTGCTTCTTAGAATACAATTTTTTTTTAAAAAAAATGGTTTAAGAAAAATGAATAAACCCCAGTCATTCATCAAAAAAGAACTTTTTCTTCCAATTTTTTAAAAACCAGAAATCATGTATTCTAGGAGAACAGCAACAGTGAATTTGGTTTTAACACTTTCTTGTCCAAAATCTAAATTCAGCTGTCAGTGAAAATAGTTTGAATGACTCTGGCACATTGAGGTAACTTCGGAATGCATCGTTCACGGTCAGCATCGTGCTTGAAGGGGGAAATACTGAGGGTTTGGTGCACAAAATATTAAGAAATTATTTTTCACCGATTTAAGGCAGAAGTCAGGAAATACTTTCATCGAGGGCCACGGGAACTCTGAGGAAATTTTCATTGTAGATCGTATGTGGATGCCGCCCTGAAAAGGTCACTTGTCATAACTGACCCCTTGTGAAACAGATCAGAGTCCATCCCCGGCCCAGAGCAAGTTTTGTTGACATCTCCGTGACGAACGCTTGAATGGTCAGCAGAACTGGAAGAGAGATTCTCCCCAGAACTCAGAAGTAAAATCAAGTCTTTCGTGGGCTTGAAGAATTCCCAGGGAGCACAGACAGATGGGACCCCTGCTCTGACATTCCTGAGAAACGGATTTCAGTCCTCCGTGAAGACTTGTTGAAGTCACCCAGCGGTTCTCAAACTCTGTTGCCCACGGCACAACTGTCACCCAAACCGCATCTTCCCCTGAGCCTTGGTGCCCAGAGGAGAGCTGGCATGGGTGTAGCCGCCTCGTCCTCGGGCCGAGGGGCTCCCGTGTGCAGCCTTGTAGGGAACCAGAGCACTGAGAGCACGGAACAGTACCTGCTATGTACCGGGAAAAACGCAAAGTCTCTGTCCCTCCTGGAGCTTGACAGGGACGGATGTGACCACAGCAGTCACACCAGAAGGGGCAAAGAAATGTTCAAAGGACGGGCATGGTGGGGTGATTAGGGTGGTCCCCTCTGGCCAGCACCCCCGACCCCGTGTGCTTGAATCCCCGGGCGAAGACCTCCCTCATGTGGTGATGCCTCAGTGTTGTACCCAGAGAGAGTGACGGCAGCCTCGGCATCTGTGAGGCCCGTGTACCTTCTCTGGGATCCTCATTCTCTGCTCGGCCAACCCCTTCTCTGTCCCTGTCCTGCTTCACTAGAGCTTTGCTGCTCAGAGGGGTCCTGGGACCGGCGACATTGGCCTACTCCAGTGTGAACATGACCCCCTGGGAATCTCGTTGAAATATGAATTCTGAATCAGGAGGTCTGGGGCAGGGCCTGAGAATCTGCATTTCTAACAAGCTCCCAGGAAACGCTGCTGGTCCATGAGGCACACTTGTTTTGTTTTGTTTTTAAGATTTTATTTATTTGAGAGAGAGAGAGAGCGAGAGAGCACAAGCAGGGGGAGCAGCAGAGGCAGAGGGAGAAGCAGGCTCCCCGCTGAGCAGGGATCCAGACACGGGGCTCGATCCCTGGACCCCAGGATCGTGACCTGAGCTGAAGGCAGACGCTTCACCGACTGAGCCACCCAGGTGCCCCATACGAGGCAAACTGAATAGCATGCAAGGTTCTAAGGTTCTGCTTATCTTGGCTTTTGGCATTTGGATTTTCCTTCCTCTGTCCTTTCAACATGGACTGGGATCCGGTTTAATGTCTACAAATAGGGCATAAAATCACCTGAAGTCTGTCTTCCTGGCCAGCAGGTTACCTAGAAACAGGGCGTCACACAGTGCCACTGTGTTAAGCAGTTGTATGACGTCAGGATCTTGGAGGAGGGTGAGGCCCGGGCTTCGGGGCGACCAGTGTGCGCCCGGGCTCCAGAGCTCCCACAGCCAACCTCCCTTGGGTAAACCGAGCTCCCGCTGACAGTGCTGCCCACGGGCTTGGTAGCCCCTCCCTCACCTGCCGGCACTTTGGCCCCACCATGGGAAGAATGCGAACGCCCCCCCGCCCCCCACAGACACAGTGACCTCGCAGGCATCATGCTGGGGCCACCGCTCGGCAGGCCAGGGCGTGCACCCGCGACTCCACAGCTTGACCAGGAATCTGGGGGGGAAGTTGCCTCTTTTCGGCGGTGTTGCTTCCACCAAGGGTTCTAAGGCAAAAAGCCCATGGATGAAGCACATCTCCAGCATTTCCCCAGCATTTCTGGGGTTCCCTCTGCAGAGCACGACCCTGGGACGGGGGAAAGTGGTGCGCCCCTAGATACTGACATCACCAGCATTATCTCACAGTGGAGGGACAGCGGCCCCGTGGCTCAGTGTGTGAGTCCCAGGAGTGCAGGAATTTCACACATAAACCTGACACATTTCAGCTACACAAATCTGCTTAGTAAAGCCTTCCGCCCAGGTCCAGACAAACTGCCCGGGATCTCGGTGCATTCTGTTTTGCCTCTTTGTGGCTTAGGCGCTGTCCACAGGCTTATGGGGTGACCACCAGTGATCCTGTCTTTTCCAGGTGTGATCCTGACAAGCAGAGATGGGGAGAAAACTGGATCTGTCCAAGCTCACAGACGAAGAGGCCAAGCACGTCTGGGAAGTGGTTCAGCGGGACTTTGATCTGAGAAGGAAGGAAGAGGAAAGACTGGAGTAAGTGTGGGGGGCCGAGCCCGTCCCTCCGGTGTCCTCTGCAGGGGCCTCGTGGGGCGCCCAGGGCGGGCAGACAACGGGAAGCATGGGTGCAGGACACCGGATGGGAAGCCGGCCGCTGCGAAATGTCCCGCTTTCTGGGCTCGGCTTCCTCCTGATTGAAATGAGGGGACCTGACTTTCCAGCCTGCATTCAGGTGTCCCCTGAATAGTTTTATTTCCTCTTGACCCAGCTTCAGGGTCATGTTGTCTCCTGAGCCAGGTGATGCTTTGCCCACGACATGGCGAGCTAGAGGTGATAAAATAGGGAAACACCCAGAATGTTGGGATGGAGGGGTTTTAGGATCAAGGCTGGCCTTATCTGTCTTTCCAGCGTGTTGGATGGCACCCATTCTTGAATGGGCGGCCATGGATGGAGCCAGCCCCCTCCACCATTATTTACCCCCCTACACTTGTAACGCTTAGCTGGGCACTGTGCTCCTTTCTGACCCTTTCTTGGTGTCCGTGGCAGCTGGTAGATCTATTGAGAAGGAGACCCTGGAGCAAAGATTCATGGAGGATGGGGCAGGCACTCCAGGCGGAAGCAGAGAGGAGGTAGGAGAGGAGTGGGGTGCCAGCTGTGGGATAGGACTCGGACCTTCGGAGTCCCAGCCGCCGTCAAGCAGGGGAACAGTGAGACCTGGCTTCTGCCCCGCAAGCCGTGGCTCCGAGAAAAGAGGGTGGAGCCAGCAAGTCTGCCCACAGCCGGTCGTGCGGGTACCGCGGGCGACTCAGGGTCGTGGCCGGAGTAGCTGGGAGGATGGGTTGTCGCTGCCTCCCCTGGGGAAGGCGAGGTGGAGCAGGTCTGGGGGGACCAGGAAAGGGTTCAGACACGTTGCGGTTAGGTTGCCTGTGGGACATCACGTGGACAAGTGAACACACGTGTGCTGCCGGGAGCTCAGAAGGGAGTGCGGAGCTGTCACCAATAGATGGTATTTGTATGAGTTTCCTGGCGCGGCTATACTATAATCACTGTGAATTCAGCGGCTTACGACGCGTACATTTCTCATGGTTCTGGAGGTCAGAAGTCTTCAGATCAAGGTGTCAGCAGGCCTGAGTTCCTTCGCGAAGCTCCAGGGAGGAATCTGTCCTTGCCTTTCCCAGCTGCCAGAGGCACCCCCGCTCCCTGGCGCCCGGCCCTGCCTCTGTCCTCAGGGCGGCCAGGCTGGCACCCAGCCCTCACTCCGCTTTTGTCCTCCTCCCTCTGCGCCTTGTAAGGACCCGTGATGACACTGGGCCCGCCCAGATCATCCAGGGTGACCTCCCGCCTCAACATCCTTAACTTAATCACATCTGCAGGGGCCCCTTTGCCAGGTGAGGTGACATATTTACAGGTCCCGGGAACCAGGAACGTAGGACAGTTCTCACGTGGGAGGAGCGTTATTCGACTGACCCCAGTGTGTCGTCACCAGGCAGGAGGAGACCCCTGCAGGAGGGTGTCCAGAGAGAGAAAGATGGGACCCCCAAGGAGACAGAGAAGGACCAGCGGTGAGGGGAGCTCTGGGTCCCAACACAGAACAAAGTCCATAACAATGGACCAGCCACTAAGAGAAACAGGCGTGGTTCTGGCGGGCGACCCCGGTGTCAGCGGGGAGGGGTCCAGGTCGGTGCCGCCGAGGCCTCCCGCTGCCCCCTGCCCTGCCCCCACCCCCGCCTTTCTGCCGTGGGCTCCTGGTCACCCCCTGGGTCTGGTCATGAAGCCGCCACCACCCTGCTGGCCCGTGGGGACTGCCAGACCCTAAGGCGCCCCCTCGAGACCTCACACTGGAGCCCACAGGAGGCCTTGACCTGCCCCAACCTCCAGGTCCCAAGCGGGGGCCAGAGCTGCCGGCCCTGCACTCCGCCCCTTCTCCCTCTGCTTCTGATGACCCCACTTCTCCACCTGCTGAGGCCCCTCCCTCTTTCCCTTCTTCCGGGGAGCCCTCCAGTGCTCTCTTACTCTTACCCACAGCAGCTCCCCTGCCTTGGCCGTGGCCGCCGGGCCCTACCAAGGGCCACGAGCTCGTGCCAGCAAAGGCAGCCTAGCCTTCCCGCTTGACAGCACCCCCTTCCCCGGGGATGGACCAGACCCCGCCTCCAGGCAACCCAGCGGTTGTCGACTTTGATTCTAAGTATATATAGAAACACAGGTAAATGGGAAGGAGGGGAACCCAGCTCTCAGGGAGCAGAGGGAGGACCACCTGGGCCAGGCCCCAAGAGGCAGCCTCTTTCCCAGAGACCCTTGAGCTGGGCTGCTCTACCTTCATCTAGACAGCTGAAGCGGTCTCGCAGAAATCTGTTTCTTGCGTGAAGGTGAGTCCCTTCTGACATCCGTCATTCCCTCTTGTCATATTCCTCGGGTCATTTCACATTGCCAAGAGGAGACAGGCCCAGCTGACCTCTCGATGCTGTTGGAAACGGAAGGCTCCTACAAGGATGCGGACCGTGACTCCCCCGGTCCTGTGCGCAGCCTGTGGCCCAGGCCAGGCCCCTGGGGCCAGTTATGATCAGGGTGCCCCCCTCATTCAGCAGCTTCTGATGCTGTCTGCTCAGAAAGGGCCAGTCATGGAAGTGGGAGGCGGGGGTGTGGGGGGATTGGCCCACTCTGCCATGTCTACTGGGCCTGCCATGTGCTTGGGGGTGGGCTTGTTAAATACCCGCTACCAGACCGGAGGAGGCTGTCTGGGGGGTGTCAATGCCGTGCAGTGCTGTCCTGGCCCTGGAGATGCGAGCTGCAGAGAGGCTGTGGCGGGGAAAGTCTGTGTCACACGAACATTGAGCCAAGCGCAGTGAAGCCCACTGGCCTTACCGTGACTGGTTCTTGTCATGCAAACAGGGCTCTAGCAGGTGATACGTTTGGGAAGTAAAGAGTCATTCTGGGAGGGAGGTGGGAGGGAAGGGCTTTTACAGTTCTTACCATTTTTGATGGTTTCGTCTCTTGTTCACTGTGCTGTGCTGTTAAATACTCAGCAAAAACTAAAACTGCCTCTGACTGTGAGGAACCTTTTCTGCAGTGTCCCCCCGACCCCGGGCTGCCGCAGGACCCGGGCGTGTGGGCCCGAGGCACGAGGGTGGGAGTGATGAGCGCCAGCAGGTCAGGACGTGGGTTCAAGTCCAGCCCAGACAGGCAGCTTTGCTGCGAGAGGGTACGGCTCAAACCAGCCTAAAAATAAAGACTCTGGGTTCTTGACACCAGACTTGGTTGACAGAGCAGCTGGCTAACTCAAGTCCTCTGCTCCCTAAACCAGTCATGGGCCAAGCGGAGAAATCAGTCATCCGGAGACCATGAGCTGGGTAGCCGTGTGACAAACCGGAGCAGCTCGGGAATCGCTCTGATGGGTTTCTGATGTCTTGGCCATCCTCCAAAAGGGACGCCAAATGGAAGGCTCGGCTCGAGGAACCTACCACAGTCACTGATGGAACTAGAGTGAACGGGGAAGAAATTGTGAAACCAAGAAACACGTTCACTAAATGAAAAGAACTTTCCTATCCTGAATATGCATCAGGTGGACACCATGTCTAGGCCTGATTCGCCAGGAGCAAATTTGCCAAGGGGCAGTTAGCTAAACAACCAGCTCACTGAACATACCAGTTGGGAAACAGACAACAATGATATTTCTCTTAATATTTACAAGCTAACAGAAATGTGTATTAGGTGGATTTCTCCCCAGACGTGGAAGTGCCAGTCCTCTATAAAGGATGTTGGGACAGGCCCTGGGTAAAGACTCCAGCACCTGTTCCCAAGCTGTAGGAGCAACACATCTTTGGGTCCCCTCTGTCAGAGCACGTGACAAACGAGCTGGCCCAGATCCCTGATACTTGGGAGGATAGGCAACACAGATGCCTTCCCTCCGAATTGACTGGAAGGAGTTTTCCTAGGTTCTAACTCATGAGTGGCACCACATAGAGAGCATCCTGAATGGGGGGCTTTCCTTGTAGGCTGTTTCGGGAAATGCACGAGAAGGAAGGGGGAGGCCGTGCCGTCTTTGATGTGGCCCCCGGCACATAGAAATCTCTCCCTGCAGTTGGCGCGTGGGACCAGGGACTTGGGAGTGGGGTGTTTACTGTGCAGCATGCCCTTTTATGCCTCGCTTCCCATCAGGATGTGATGCTGTGCTCCAAAGAATCAAAAATTCAAAGATATACAAAATTAGGATGTTAACAATCTTGGCATCAGTAAGTGCTTTAGGATAGATTTAACTTACTACCTGTTTCCTACCATCGAGTCCTGAGCAGTGGGCTATATAATGAGGACGTGTGTCTTGCTGTGGATGAACTTTGAGCCTTAAAGTTGGGCAGACCCTTGTGTGAGAGCATGGTCCTCTTTATGCCCGGTCTGCTACCTGGTGCAGGGCCTGGGCTGCGAGCCATCCTGGGTGCTAGGGAGACAAAACAGGATTATCTTGGGGCGCCTGGGTGGCTCGGTTGGCTAAGTATCTGCCTTCGGCTCAGGTCATGATCCCAGGGTCTTGGGATCTGCCTACATACATCCGCTCCCTGCTCAGCGGGGAGCCTGCTTCTCCCTCTGCCCCTCCCCCTTCCGCTCTTGTGCTCTCGCTCTCACTCTCTCTCAAATAAATAAATAAAATCTTTAAAAAAGTAGGATTATCTCAGTGACACAGAAGAGTGGTAGCATGCTATTTCTGATAATTTTGTTGAATAAAATGGAAATAAAAATACTTTCTTAACGTGATAAAAGTACCCCTCAAACAACAGTCATCGGGCTATATTAACATCAGAAGCAGGAAAAGGATTTCTGTCATCATCACTCGTCACCACTAATTTAGCATTGTTCTCCATGTGCTGGCCAATGCGATTAGAGAAGATAGCAAAATAAATCCTGTGGTCAGGGAGATCCATAGCTATTATCTGCAGATGTGAAAACCCAAGGTAGTTCTCTGTAAAACCAAGAAAAAAGAGAATTTAGTAGCCTGGCTAATGACAAAAGAATATAAAAGAAACATCAGGGTCCTCTTTAAGCTT